CAAGACTAATGATAAATGTGACTGAAAACGTGGAGTCGACCTGCACAAAGTGAGACCTTTGCGTTGAAACAGGACGTCTTTGGAGGGAACAGGTGGACTGTCTTCGGTGGAAATGAGTAGAAATAAGTGGACAGAGCAGCTTTTTCTTTTGTTAACCTTCCTGTCTGCAGAGAACCTGGTCTGAACCGTGTCTGCGGAGGTTTAATTAGACATCCGGCCTCTGCTGCTGCCTTCTATCGAGCGAAACTCTTTTATCTTCCAGAAAAACGTCTTTCTCTGAGACAAAGAGCACAATGATTTCCCGACTCTTTTGAAGAAGCTCCTCCACTTAAGACCAGTTGATAGCGGTATTGATCGGCCCGTTTCTGGGATGGCTATTGATCCTTCTTCCACTAAAATCGGACCCGCCTCGTGATGGAACATCGACTAAATGTTTGGTTTTGAGCCGCGGCGGCACTAAGTGGGTTTTTCCACGTCGACTCTTCTGACTTCAGACGCCGGCCGTCGTGTTTAGCGGCAGAATTGATTCGCTTTGATCTCTTTCGCACCTGAAAGTCCCGACCAAGGAAAAACCGAACCACCCAAAATCCCCAACACACCGTTAAACTATTAACGAGGGACAGTTTGTCTTTTCTGGAGAATCATTCTTGAAACTGATATAAAATTCTCACCAGTATGAAGAAGTATTTAACCGTCTTTAGCAGCGTGTAACTGGATTTTTAGTGCGACTGGTTCACTGTAAAAACCATAAACAAACATTTAAGTGACTGTGCTGTCCCTGTCTTTAGATCAAACATCCATATTTTACAGATATTTGCAAGACAGACTATACTTGTTCAAGATTAAAAACAAGGTAACGTTTGAAACTGTTATTTTAGGGATTTTTCTTCTTTTGTGAAATTAGTAAAAACAAATAAACAAATAAAGAAAACAGGCCAAAACTGTAAACAAAGTCAAAAAAATCTGTATTGTTTTCATGTATTTAAAAAAAAAACATAATTTTGCTAAAAAATACAGTTTTTACTTTATTTACATCTGATAGAAAATCATTATTTCACTGATATTTGCCATCATTTAAAACAAAAATTGTGTTTAATAAAGACTGAAAATTGGTTAAAAAAAAAAAAAAAATTAAATTAAAAAAAGTCTGTTATATTACGGATAATATCGAATAAAATCACAGGAAAAAGTCTTAATTTCCATGTTAACTGTAAAAAAAAAAGGAACAGACCAAAACTGTAAACGATGTTAAAAATCTGCATATTTGCAATAAAACAAACAAACAAAAAAACAACGATTTGATCTTTTACATCATTTGGTAATAAAACTACAGTTTTATTCATATTTAGACGTGTTGAAAACATTATTTTCCTGATATTTGCCTTGATTTGAAAGACAAATTCTGTTCATTAAATATTTAAAAATTGTGAATATTTTGGTAAATTATTGATAATATCCAGAAGAATTACAGAACAAGTGTCCAGAAAGCTGAACATGAAGTTCACATCAGAGTCTCTAATAGTCATTTGTTCTTTCACAAGATTTACACTGTTTTGCTGATTTAAATCTGTCAGAAAACATCATTATTTCATTGTGTGTGTGTGTGTGTGTGTGTGTGTGTGTGTGTGTGTGTGTGTGTGTGTGTGTGTGTGTTCTGCAGGAGTCGCAGCCTGCGGACGCCGGCCAACATGTTCATCATCAACCTGGCCATCACAGACCTGCTGATGTGCGTCACCCAGTCGCCCATCTTCTTCACCACCAGCATGCACAAGAGGTGGATCTTTGGAGAGAAAGGTACGACTGCACGCGCTCAGTGCGTAGCGAGCCCCTGAACACAGACATGTGTGTGCCTTAAAAAAGGTGTTGATCCCACCTGGAAGTTTTCACTTTTACTGCTTTTCAACGCTGAATTGTGGTTAAACTTAATTTGGCTTTTTTGACAAGAGTCTACAAAAAGGAATTAGGTTTACGGTTTATGTTATACAGGAATTGTGAAAAACATCTCTTTTCAAATCCAACCACAACTTCTCAGTTGTATTGAGGTTCTGGGCTGTGACTCCACCACTCCAGAACATTCGCCTTCTTGTCTTTAAACTATATCTGCTGTAGCTTCGGCTCATCGTCTTGCTGGAAAACAAACCTTCTACCAAGTCACACTTCTCTTGCATCAGTCCTACTGGACAGTTCGACACTTTGCTGCTTTCAGTTCAACCTCTAACTTTACAAAGCTTCAGGGCCTGCTGACGACAAGCATCCCCACATCATGATGCTGCCACCACCGTGCTTCATCATGACGCTGCCACCGCCGTGCTTCATCATGA